AAAATTTACTTAATTTATCTTCATCTAACTGTCAATCACTGACATCATTGATGGTGATGGTGCAGTGGATAAGACAAATGTCTTTGGTGTGAGAGACCTGGGTTCAATTCCACCAATGTGCCCCTGAGCATGGAACTTAACTCCTAGTTGCTCCATAGGTGTGCGACATCTGACATATGTAGTAATTGTAAGTTGCTTTGGATAAAATTCTCTGATAAATGTATTGATTGATTTTATGAATTGACTTATTGTAAGATCAGTGAATGATTCAGTGTTACCTGTGGCCCTGTGTCGATATAAAGACACCATGAGGACAGTGGAGATGCAGTACGGACAGAACACCACCAGGTGGTAGATCAGTCTAAACACAAGCTGGAAGGGGGCTGAGGCAGGTGGTGTTGGAGGAGGCGGGGTTGTCGGGGTGGGCAGAGCTGCAGATGTGGGCAGAGCTGAGGTTGTAGGTTTACCTGTAGAGAGAATCCACCTGGTCAGATGAATCTCTGGATGAAATAAGTCCTGAAATCAAAGGTAACCTCCTCACCTGTGACAGAGATCCAGCTGGATGGAGACTCTCCACGACCGCTGATGTTACACTTGTAGAGGCCTTCATCAGACTTGTTAACATGGTGGATGGTCATGTGACCTGTAGGCTCAGTCCTGATGAGGGAGCCCTCTTTATAGAAACCAGCTGTGAGGTTGGAGGGAGGGGTCTTTGTTTTACAGTGCAGAGTGACATCATGTCCCTCCATCACAGGGAGGACAGGACTCTGCAGGATCACTGGTCCACCTCAACACAGAGACAAACTACAGCATTTCATCATTTACACACAGCTTCATCAACACTAACTCCACAGTCTGATCTTACCAGTGACAGTGATGTTGATGGTGTTACTGGTTGCTCCCTCTCTGGACTCACACCAGTAAACTCCACTGTCCATGCAGCGATGTAGCTGATGTAACAGGAAGAACCAGCTGGTTCTCCCCCAGTCGTCACACTGAGTCCTGGTTCCTCTGGTTGTGTTCCTCCTCAGCGTCCATCCAGCAGAGCTGTCGTCCTCCTCACAGCTCAGAGAGACAGACTCTCTTTAAACAGCTGAGAGCTGCTGGGACTCACAGTCAGAGAGGCTGGAGGAAGAGACAGAAAGATGTGGTTAGAGAGAACATTTGCATTAATTTTCTCCACATTCCTCATATTCCTACTTTCTCACTTCTTCCCTGCTGAACTGATCTCTGTGTTTCAGTCGCTGAGTTTCAGAGAAGAAATCCGAATCCCACTGATTTGATTTTCCCAAATGTTTTCTGCATACTTATAACGTTGGTTGAGGTGTGGCTACATGAGTTTTTTATTCATTATCTCTTAGCCACTCAGTGTTGCAGTCTGGACAGCTTTGGCAGTGACAGAAGTTTTCTCACCTTGGTTTGTTGTGCAGCTCAGCAGTGAGGTCAGAACTAAAGAGAAAACACACTCAGGTTGGTTTGAGTTTTACATGAAACAAGACATCTGGACTTTCTACAAAACAGAACAACAGCCACACATTGATATTAGCTTTGGAAATAAAAATTGTATTTTATTAAGGAGACATACAATTTTGATTTAGTTCAATTTCCCCAAACAGAGCAGTCAGGACATGGAACCTTCGACGCAGCAGGAGTGAAAGATGGCGTTGGGGCCTCTCCTACGCATTATCTACTTTGTTCCAGAGAGTTGGATAGCTGAGCTGAAGCCTGTTTCCCTTGTGTGTAGGGTGGATGATGGATTTTAGGATATTTAAAGACAGCCTCAGAAGAGACCTCCATTTCCTGTGTTGCCTCTGTGTGGCACATTACAATTAAAGACTTAATAGTTACTGGTCTAGTTGCTTGTCTTGAGTGGGTTTTGAGTTGTTTTTAGTTTTGCACGTTTAGTTATAGTTTTTTGCTTTTATATTTGGTTGTTGTGTTTATTCTTATATTAAGACAAGCTTAGCGAGTTAGCCAAAGGACTGATCCAAGCACTGTGAAGCGTGCAGTTTCCTTGACTCCTTGACTGCTGTCACCACTCGGTCATTTAAGGTTACTGTTTCTCACCATCAGGCGCCAGAAGGAGGACTGAGAGCTTGGAGGAGCTCAGCAGGTGGAACAAAGCGTACTGGAGGATTCTGGAAACACATGAGCAGCTTTGGCCCCGGAGTATTTGCCACTGTCAATTTTATAAACAATTAAGGTGCCAATAAATGAATAAACCCTGTTTTAACTTGTTTGTTTTGTGTATTTTAATTTGTTAAATTCTTAATAATTGTGTTTTAAATAGTCATCCTCTGGTCCGAGCTTGGCATGTGTGTTTTTCTCTTCTGTAGCACTTCAGGATAGTAAATACCTTTCTGTATAAAACTTTCTACATGCTTTCAACCTCTTTCTTCTATTTTATGATATACTGTAGGAATAACTACTGTTAACAATCGCAATGAACACTTGCTGTAATGTTTGTGTTGCTTTTTGGTGCCATATTATCAAACAACACTGAAATTCCTGCTCTGTTGTCGCAGTTAACATGTACACGATCTGTTTGGCTGATTTCTGTCTTTGTATTCATGTTGTTCACTCTATAACTCGCTGTTGCTTTCAAAATCACCAGAAATGTTTTAGACCTAATCTTTGAGACAACGTGGAGACAAACATTCACACATTAAGTAGATTCTTGCTTACCTAGCAGCCGCGGTAAAGATGATTTCTCCATTTTAACTCTCGGCCATCTGAGATCAACACATTAACGTTCACCAGTCACCAAGTAAAACCCTCCTCCTTCCTCTTTGTGTGTCACTCGTTCTCTTGTGGTTTTCTCACATAGTTAACAGGAAATAAACTTTATGTTGAGGCTCAAATTGAAAAACTGACCAGGTTGTGCAGAGGCACAGTGGTGACACTTACTGAGAGACAAATCACATCTTTTGCCAATTTAGTCTTTTATAGACAGCATGTATTAACTTGGTATTTGTATATAATTTACCAAACAAATATACATCTATAAACATATGATGAACAACATATGATCATGTGGCAATAAATAAAGGACAATTGAAAAATAGAGACATGTGGTTTGTTCTTGTCAGAAACCCAGTCATAGTCACCAGCTGCTCATGTTTTTACACTGTACCTCATCATCATCATCATCATTCAACCTCACCCCTGTATTCTGGCATGGCTGCAGAACATTGACTTTGAAGCCAAAAAGGCTCTCAAGACCGACAGGCCTGTAAAAGTCCCCCCAAGAAATTCATATATTTTGTTATATTTACTTTTACTTACGGGTCACCTGACCCACCTGTCTGTCTTTACTTAGTTTATTTCTTCAAACAGAGAAACAAAAAAAATGAAACAAAATTGGACAGTTATTTTAGTTTTTTTTGATTCATGGAAATATGCTTGTTTTTTGTTTCTTCACTTTTAGGTCCATACAAAAAACAAAACAAAACAATTATAAAAACAAACTATTCAAATGTATACCTCTCTTCCCGACTGCTGACCTGACTCATGACTTTTAGGGGGCAACTTTATGAATGCCATCCGCAAAAATGGCTAGTAAGAGTGACTGTGGCAGGCCACTGCTGAATTCAACCCACGTTTTCTTCATTTTGTACATAAGCACATGTCCTTATTCATCTGTTGTGTTTAACACCTCTGATTTCACCATGTACCGTTAGCCCCGTAGTATAACACAGAAACTCACAAGTTAAGGCAAACATTGGCAACAGGCTATGTACCACAGTACTTTAAAGTAGCTGTAATTAAACCTCTTCCGCTTTTGATCGAGGGGTTTTAGCAAACTGTAAACCTATATTTAACCTTCCATTTCTCCCAAAGATCAAATCAAAGTGACAATCAAAATCAAAAGAAGGCAAAAGTGCTACAAAGATCCACAAACAAAACAAGCAAGATTAAAAACTGGAACACATTTGAAAGAGCACAACAAGCTACAAGGATCTGACAAAAGGGAACAAACAAACCTACCGTTATATAGAGGGGGCAGGGTAACTGTAACACAGGTGAGACACATGGGACTAATAAGACTGAACAGGAAACAAAGCTAGACAAAGACACCAGACGCTCCAAAACAAACCAGGAAGTAAAACTCACTAAGACGCACGAGGGCGACTTAAAAAAAATAAAAACAGAGCACAGAAACAAACGAACAACTGACAAAAAAACAAGAACACAGGAGGCGGGGAGTGATAAACACAGGAGGAAATGGCAGAAACACAACAAAGATGAACAAATAAAAAGCCAAACCCAAAACATGATACATCCTCTGTATAACTTGCAACTTAGCATGACAGAGACTGAGGTTTGGTCAATTTTGTGAAGTTTATTGAAAACTTTTAAAGTAAATAAAAACCCTGTTTTAAAACATCTAAACCAAACAAGCAAGAGTAACAACAAAACTCAAACCAGAACCTGAACCTGAGCTTTTATTTGGACCAAAAACATTTCGACAGCTTTGTCCATTTGTCCAGGGGTCTGTATCATGAAATCTGAGGTTTATTTGCTGATGACGCAAACATTTTATCTTCATTTAAGAATCACAACACACTGGATCAGCTCAGAAGTGATGCTCTGTGGTGACAGCAGTGATGATGTCATCATAGTCATTATCCAATCCCTCATCAGCCTGGGGGGGCGGGGTCATCACCATAGAGGCGGGCAGGTCATTTCCTGCAGTCAGAGCAGGGTAGAAATAAAATATCAATCAGTAAGCATCAGCTAAATTAATAAAGGTAATGATTGATCTATTAATTGATTGATTGATTGATTGTAAGGTCAGTGAATGATTCAGTGTTACCTGTGGCCCTGTGTCGATATAAAGACACCATGAGGACAGTGGAGATGCAGTATGGACAGAAGACCACCAGGTGGTAGATCAGTCTAAACACAAGCTGGAAGGGGGCTGAGGCAGGTGGTGTTGGAGGAGGCGGGGTGGGCAGAGCTGAGGTTGTAGGTTTACCTGTAGAAAGAATCCCACCTGGTCAGGTGAATCTCTGGATGAAATAAGTCCTGAAATCAAAGGTAACCTCCTCACCTGTGACAGAGATCCAGCTGGATGGAGACTCTCCACGACCTCTGATGTCACACTTGTAGAGGCCTTCATCAGACTTGTTAATATGGTGGATGGTCATGTGACCTGTAGGCTCAGTCCTGATGAGGGAGCCATCTTTATAGAAACCAGCTGGGAGGTTGGAGGGAGGGGTCTTTGTTTTACAGTGCAGAGTGACATCATGTCCCTCCATCACAGGGAGGACAGGACTCTGCAGGATCACTGGTCCACCTCAACACAGAGACAAACTACAGCATTTCATCATTTACACACAGCTTCATCAACACTAACTCCACAGTCTGATCTTACCAGTGACAGTGATGCTGATGGTGTTACTGGTTGCTCCCTCTCTGGACTCACACCAGTAAACTCCACTGTCCACTGGGAAAATGTAACTGATGTTGCAGGAAGAACCAGCTGGTTCACCCCAGTCATCACACTGAGTCCTGGTTTCTCTGGTTGTGTTCCTCCTCAGCGTCCATCCAGCAGAGCTGTCGTCCTCCTCACAGCTCAGAGAGACAGACTTCCAGCTGAAAAACTGAGAGCTGCTGGGACTCACAGTCAGAGAGGCTGGAGGAAGAGACAGAAAGATGTGGTTAGAGAGAACATTTGCATTAATTTTCTCCACATTCCTCATATTCCTACTTTCTCACCGTCACTTCTTCACTGCTGAACTGATCTCTGAGTTTCAGGCACTGAATTAAACTCAGATTTGAGCTGATAGATGAAAGTTTTCTGCATGTTTTCAGTGTTGGTTGAGATCTGGCAACATGTTTGTAAACATCTTTTTTTATCTGTTAACCACTCAGTGTTGCAGGCTGCACACCTGTGGCTGTGACAGAAGAAGTTTTCTCACCTTGGTTTGTTGTGCAGCTCAGCAGTGAGGTCAGAACTAAAGAGAAATCACACTCAGGTTGGTTTGTGGTTTTAACATGAAACAAGACGTACTTCTAGAAAACAGAGTAACCTGTTTGTAGAAAACCACCACACATTTATATTAGATATGGAAAAAACTAATTTTATTTACATACACATGCAATTGTTTTTAGTCCAATTTCCACAAACAGACCATGTTGGAATGTGTTTCGAAGTGTCCTTGGGCATAGGGGCGATTTTTTATATTATTTTCTGTCCTCTAATTTTAGATTTTGGAGAAGCAAGAGAAGGGACAACCAATTAGCCTACAGTTTGATAAGGCTTTTCTTTTAATAAACGGATTTAATGTCCCTGAATACTGACATTTTTCAGTTTCTAATGTTTTACTGAATGATCCGCAACCGCGCTGGCCAACAGGTCAGCTTCTGCGGAACGCTGCTTGTGTGTCTGTCTCTCGGGGCCAAACTAATACTTTCAATATTGAGGAGGGATACGAGCGGCCCCTCCCAACTTGCTGAATTATGATTGTCTCAACGGCGCCGATGAGAGGTGTTTACTTTCCCTCTGGGGCGAGTTTAATCCAAAAACCTTTTACACCGGTTTGCTACATTTGTCGGGGCTGAACTCAGCCCAGGGTTGTGTGACAAGTGCAACAGAGACGGTAAATATGGGAAAAGAAAGAAAGAGGAAAAAGAAATGTGTGGTGCCGAAAATATAAGAATTAAGAAGAAAAAAATGTTGAGACAAGAGGCAGCTGAATGCGCCAACTTAACCGACTGCTTCCTTGGTGGAAGTTGCTGTGGAAGGCGCAGATGAGGCAGAACCTAGCAGCTGAATAAATAGGTGCACAATTAGTAATGCATTTATTATGTACATTTATAAAATGCATTTATTATACATTTATAAAATGCATTTATTACATACCATACACACACACACACACATATATATATATATAACAGTTTGCAATGTGAAGAATCTTTGTGTGTCTGCATCAAGGGCGTCACTTTGTGTTGAAAAGTGGTGGGGACATAAGGGCTCAGATTAGGGGCGTAATGGATCATGAGACGCGACGATGCACAAGAACAAGACAAGGCAAGATTTTTAGCATTAAACTGTAATTTCCTGCATTCGGGAGACATTTTCTGCTCCAATTTAAGGTGGAAATGTCTGTTTTTATATGAGGGAAATATATTGCATTGCATGTTTTCTTATTGTGCAAATAAACCTTTCTCAAAGCTTTTCATTTGTTAGTTAACATTTCTTGGTGCTTTTTTCAGAAGATTGTTAACAAATGCTCTCAAAAAGTGATGGGGACAAAATCAGCCGGGTGGGGAGATGTCTCCAGCATGTCCCACCACTTTTGCAAGGCATTGTATGCATGCTACATTCTCATTAGGGGCTGAGCACCCCTAAAGGTCTGATCCTAGAATCGCCCCTTCTTGGGCAAGATACTGAGCCCCCGATGGCTCATCAGTGTATGAATCTGTGTGAGTGTTAGTTTCCGTTTGAGCACTTAGGCTCAGTGTATGAATGTGTGTGAATGGGTGAATGTAACGAAGTGTAAAGCGTTTTGAGTGGTCGGAAGACTACAAAGGTCTTATAACACCTCTAACTCCTAACCTCTAACATGCACTTCCTGTGCTCTTCTTCTTCTATCCCCCACAATGATCTTGTATTGATTGCACTTTTTGTTTTGATTGCACGTTTGGTTAACTCTTACTTCCTTCCCTAGGTATCTACCCCATTGATGTGATATGTACTGTGAGCTCTTACTAGTATTTATTGCTGCTCTTACTAGTATGTATTGTCAGTTGTAGACCTGTAGTTGATGCTCTGTTGATGCTGTATGTTGTTCCTCAAATGTAAGTCGCTTTGGATAAAAGCGTCTGCCAAATGAGTAAATGTAAATGCTATACAAATACAGACCATTTACCATTTAGGATGCACAATCTTTGAGGTAGACAAGTTCAAGCAGCGGCCGGGTTGACTGGAGGGAAAGCTGCTCGTGAGGACTCGCATAGGTGAGGATGCTGGTGAGGAACATGAGGATTCCTTCCCCCCTCCTTTTCCAAATAAGAACCTCTCCTACGCATTATCTACTTCATTCCAGAGAGTAAAAGTGTGTTGGATTGTGGAGCTGAAGCCTGTTTCCCTTGTGTGTGGGGTGGATTGACAGATTTTAGGATATTTAAAGACTGCATCAGAAGAGACCTCCATTTCCTGTTTTGACTGTGTGTGTTGCACGTTACAATTAAAGACTTGATAGTTACTGATCTAAGTATTTGCTTGTCTTGTGTGGGTTTTGAGTTGTTTTTAGTTTTGCACGTTTAGTTATTTTCTTTTTGTATTTTACATGTTTATTTGCTTTTATATTTGGTTGTTGTGTTTATTCTGATATTAAGACAAGCTTAGCCGAGTTAGCCAAAGGACTGATCCAAGCACTGTGAAGCGTACAATTTATGGTTACCAGCCAGGTCGTTCTCTAGAATGATGTGCACTCCTTCAATTGGTAGTGCCGGCCTTATGCCCCAGGCAACCTCACCTTGGACCAAACCACAGTTAAGTGTCAGTCTAGCACTGGAATAGGCAGCACGATAAAACCCATTCCCCGTGTCAGCACGTGCTCTCCCGAGAAAATGGCAACACAGAGCTCACAATATGTGAATGAAAAGCCCCAGTATCTCTCCCTCTCATCTCTTACAGTATCACTCCCCATCACCTCCAAGCTACACTTCTCTCCAGCACCAACTCACAAGCCATAAACACTGCAGCCTTGACGGTCACATAAACTTTACTTTCAGCCACAATGAGAGCAGAGTAGGCCTTCTGTGCTTACCTGTCAACACACATTGCAAGAGTAATGTGCAGTCAGAGTCTGACCACTGTCTACTCTCTGCTACCCGCTCAATAAGTGAGAAAAAGGTGTCTGGGTCTCGTTCACAAAACAGCTCATCAATGTCTCCCAAACAACCAGATTGTACAACTCATTCACAAAATGAGGCACACAACTTAATACTAGACCACAACTAACCTCCGCCGTCAAGCAGACACAGAGTCATAAGGCCTGGACGAGCCCCCATTTGTCACAGCCCGGCACTATGGCTGCGACAAATATGGGAGACAAAACGAGCTTGCACGAAAAAAGTAACGGTTTATTTTACAAAATAATATTTGACAAAGATAATAACGTGAATCTGTTTTAACCACACCCTCGACCTTGTTTTGGTGTATGGTATTGAAATTGAACATTTAGTGGTGTTCCCACAGAATCCCTCTTTATCCGACCACTGTTTGATAACTTTTGAGTTTGTATTTCTGAACTACTCGCCATTGGGCAAAAATTTTTATACAAGATGTCTGTCTGATAGTGCTATAGCTAAATTTAAGGATGCGATTCCATCAGCTCTAAATACATTATCTAGTCACATAGTAACGGAGGACTCCTATGCTAATTTCAGTCCCTCCCAAATCGATCATCTTGTTGATAGTGCTGCAGGCTCGCTGCGAATGACACTGGACTCTGTAGCCCCTCTAAAAAAGAAAATACTAAAACAAAGACGGTTAGCTCCATGGTATAATACTGAAACTCGCAAATTAAAGCAAATATCACGGAAACTTGAGAGGAATTGGCGTTCCACCAAAGTGGAAAATTCTCGTTTAATTTGGCAAGATAGTCTTAAAACTTATAGGAAGGCCCTCCGTAATGCCAGAGCAGCGTACTACTCGTCATTAATAGAGGAAAATAGGAACAAACCCAGGTTTCTTTTCAGCACTGTAGCCAGGCTGACAGAGAGTCACAGCTCTATTGAGCCAAGTATTCCCATAGCTCTCAGTAGTTACGATTTCATGAGCTTCTTTAATGACAAAATTCTAGCTATTAGAGACAAAATTCACCAAGACCTGCCCTCAATTGGCACCGACTTATCTCTAAACTCAGGAACCTTAGAAACAGCTGTAGAACCAGATACATGTTTAGACTGTTTTGCTTCCCTCAATCTTTACCAACTAACTTCAATAATTTCTTCATCTAAACCATCAACCTGCCTCTTAGACCCCATCCCGACTAGGCTGCTTAAAGATGTTTTACCCTTAGTCAGCACCTCTATACTAGATATGATCAATCTATCTTTATCAACAGGCTATGTACCACAGTACTTTAAAGTAGCTGTAATTAAACCTCTTCTAAAAAGCCCAAACTTGATCCGGATGTTTTAGCCAACTATAGACCTATATCTAACCTTCCATTTCTCTCTAAGGTTCTGGAGAAAGCAGTTGCTAAACAGCTGTGTGACTTTCTACAGAGCAATAGTTTATTTGAGGATTTTCAGTCAGGATTTAGAGCTCATCATAGCACAGAGACAGCACTGGTGAAAATTACTAATGACCTCCTTATTGCATCAGACAAAGGACTTGTCTCTGTACTGGTTTTATTAGATCTTAGTGCTGCATTTGATACCATTGACCATCAGATCCTATTGCAGAGACTGGAATATTTCATTGGCATTAAAGGAACCGCTCTAAGCTGGTTTAAGTCCTATTTATCAGATCGATTTCAGTTTGTACATGTTAACGATGAGTCCTCCATGCACGCCAAAGTTACTCATGAAGTTCCTCAAGGATCTGTCCTTGGACCAATCCTCTTCACTTTATATATGCTTCCTTTAGGCAATATTATCAGGAAACATTCCATAAGCTTTCATTGTTATGCAGATGATACTCAGTTATATCTATCGATCAAGCCAGATGAAACTCATCAGTTAGCTAAACTTCAAATGTGCCTTCAGGATGTTAAAACCTGGATGACTTGTAATTTTCTCATGTTAAACTCAGATAAAACTGAAGTTATTGCTCTGGGGCCTAAGCACCTCCGTGACGCATTATCTAAAGATATAGTTTCCCTGGATGGCATCGCCTTGGCCTCCAGCACCACTGTGAGGAATCTTGGAGTTATCTTTGATCAGGACATGTCGTTTAAGTCTCACATTAAGCAAATTTCAAGGACCGCCTTTTTTCACCTACGTAATATTGCGAAAATCAGGAACATCCTGTCTAAAAATGATGCAGAAAAACTAGTCCATGCATTTGTTACTTCTAGGCTGGATTACTGCAATTCCTTATTATCAGGCTGCTCGAAAAAGTCCATTAAGACTCTTCAGCTGATCCAGAATGCTGCAGCACGTGTTCTGACAGGAACCAGGAAAAGAGATCACATTTCTCCTGTTTTAGCTTCTTTGCATTGGCTTCCAGTAAAATCCAGAATAGAATTTAAAATCATTCTTCTTACCTACAAAGCTCTTAATGGTCAGGCACCATCTTATCTTAAAGAGCTCATAGTACCTTACTACCCCACCAGAGCACTGCGCTCCCAGAATGCAGGGTTACTTGTGGTTCCTAGAGTCTCCAAAAGTAGACTAGGAGCCAGAGCGTTCAGCTATCAAGCTCCTCTCCTGTGGAACCAGGTTCCAGTTTGG